TATAACAATGAAAGAATTTTTCTTTTACTTTTCAAAGAGTAGAATGAATTAGAGGAAAGGGGTGGGCAGGAAGAAAAGTATAATAATAAATGAAAGGAAATCCAAAATCTCTGTAAATTTTCATTAAAATTAGTAATTTTTTTAAATTAGGTACATCTTAGTCTTTAAAGTGACATCATTGCTCTTTAGTATGCAATGCTTTTTAAAGCAGTAGGCAGACTTTCCCAATGCATACAATATCCTAATCACCTGACTAATGGTACCAAGGTGTTGACTGTGAGTTCAAGCAAGATGAAATCATTGACAATTTCAATCTTCTCTTCCTAGTTGCCCAGTGGTGAAGATTTTTCTATTCTTGACATTAAGATGTAATCCACATTAAAGGCTGTAGACCTTTTTATTATTCATTCATTAAGATTGTAATCCTTGATCTTCTGCAGTAAGCATTTCAAGTCTTCCTTGCTTTCAGCAAGTAAGTTGTGTCATCTGCATAACACAGATTGTTGATGAGTCTTCCTCCAATCCAGAGGTCACATTCTTCTTCACAGAGTCCAACTTCTGGAGTAATTCACTCAGCATATAGACTGAACAGGTAAAGAGAAAGGATAGAGCCTTGATACATATCTCGCTTGATTTTAAACCATGCAGGGTTCCCCTTGCTCTGTTCACAGAACTGCCTCTTGATCTAAGTTTTGCATGAACACAAGTGTTCTGAGATTCTCATTCTGCTCAATTTAGCCATATGTTATGATCCACACAGTCAAATGTGTCTGCATAATCAGTAAAACATAGACATTCTTTTGGTATTCTCTGCCTGTCAACCAGGATCCATCCGATATCAGCAATGATATCCCTGGAGCCATGGCATCTTGTAAATCCAATCTGAACTTCTGGCAGTCCTCCGTCTACATACAGTAATAGCAGTATTTGCATAATCTTCAGCAATATTTTGCTTGCATGTGATATTAATGTTATTGTCCTTATTCTCTTGGATCACTTTTCTAGAGAATGGAAACAAATATGGAGCTCTTTCCATATTCAGTTTTTCTGGCAGCTGTGCTCCAGATTTCTTAGCACAGACAGGTGATCACGCCCAGATTTGCATTTGTTAACATGCAAATTAACATGTCAATTGGTATCCCACTCATTCCAAGGACCTTATTTTTTGCCAATGTCTTCATTGTAGATTGAACTTCTTCATCAACACTGGCTCTTTATCAGTTGATGATGAGCTGTTGAGTTGCCTGAGATTCACTGCGACCCTATGTACAACAGCCCTAAACCCTGCTCCATCCCTTGCCAGTCTTACTGTCTCCGACACACCTATCCCATTACCCCAGTGACTCAATCAATCCACCTCATTGAGGGTCTTCCTCTCGTGTACTGTCCCTCCACTCTCCCAAACATGATGGCCCTTTCCAAGGACTGATCCTGCCCTGCAACATGTCCAAAGTATGTCAGACGAAGTTTCAGAATCCTTGCCTCCAAGAATTATCAGCTGACAGATAAATAAAATTATCAGAAAGATATAAATCTTTATGGAAGCAGACTACCACATATTTTTCCCTATGAATGGCTGGTTGGTTCAAACTGACTTTCAAGTTAACAACTTTACTATATTATGAGGGCTCAAGGCTCCTTGAATAAACATTCAAGCTCATTACCATTAACTTGAGTCCAACTCATAGTCACTTGCCATAACTTTCCAAGGCTATAAATCCATAAGACTATCTTTTTCCTAAGGAGGAGTTGGTGGATTTGAACTAGTAACCTTTTGGTTACCAGTCCAACATATTATGTACTATACCATTAAGTCTCCTTTAGGGGTTCTTAAGTGACCTTTGTTAGAGCAGAAGACTTTCAAATTCAATTTATGGAAAATTGGTATACTCTTATTAAAAGCACAAGATTTGCAGTCTAGAGTCCTGGGTTCAAATTCTGATTATACTACTGCCTGGCTGTGAAACTCTGATCTTTACTTAACATTGCTAAAAAGGATTCCCCCCTAGTAAAATAAGAGAATACAATTTCTACTTCACAAGACAGAAAAACAGCTTAAATTATAAAGGTAAAAGCATATAAAGGAAAAATCCTTATTTCATAGCATGCACTAAATTTAATTCAGAGTAATTTACAGACTTAAATTCTGAAAAAATACAAATAAATCTTCATGATCTTAGATGGTTATTGTTATGTGCTGTCAAGTTGCCTGCAACCTTAGCAACCCTATGTATAGCAGCTCTAAAGCCTGCCCTATCCTAAGCCAGTCTCACTGATTTGACACACCTACTTCCATTATCCCAGTTACTCTATCAATCCATCTCATTCAGGGTCTTTCTCTTGCACTGTCTCTTCACCCCTTCACCCTTCTGAGCATGAGGTCCTCCTGGCCATGTGCCCAAAGTATGTGAGATGGAGCTTCAAAATCCTAGCCTCCAAGGAGAAACTTGAATCTTGGATTAGGCACTGATTTCTTGTGTATGGCACCAAGAACGTATGTGATAAAAGACTGCTAAACTGGATATGATCAATATTTAAAACTTTTATGTATCAGAGAATCCTACAAAGTGAAGACAGCCCACAAAACAGGACAAAATATATACAAATCCTATCGGATAAGGAGCTTGTGTCCAAAAATACAAAGCATGTCCTAATACAATTTTAAGAACATAAATAGCCCAATTATAAAATGAGCCAAGGATCTAAGTTGACATTTCCCAAAAGAAGATATACAAATTGCCCATAAGCTCATAAAAAGATGCTCTCTCAATGTCATTAGTCACTAACCAACTCAATTCACTGCCCTGGGAATCCATTCCAACCCTCTGCAACCTTCCATCAGGATACTGAAGCTATAAATCTCAACTGGAGAACACATCCATCTTACTCTCAGAGTGACTGGTGGGTCTGAACTGCTGACCTTTCCGTTAACAGCCACCAGCATGGTTGTCATTGTTGTTGTTTACCGTTGAGGCGGAACCAAGCCATAGCTGACCCTTCCGTGGCTTTTCAGAGACAGTTAATAACAAGGGAGGAGACTGCCCATCCTTCTCCCACATTGTTAGGAAAATGCAAATGAAAACCACAGCAAGACAGACCTCACACCCACTCAAACTCAACTCAACCCCATTGCCACAGCATCAGTTCTGACAGGTAGTAACCCTCTAGCAAGTTTCCAAGGCTGTAAATCATTATGAGAAGAAACTACCCTTTTCTCCCTCACAACTACTGGTGAATTCATACTGCTGAAATCTTCAGGTTACACACACAACTGGCTACAGACTACACTGTATTTTCATACCCTTTAGGATGGCAACACTCCTGGCACCAGCAGTCAGGAAATCAAAAGACTAATTGCATTAGGAAAATCTGTCAGGGACTCTCCAGAGTGCTGAGTAGCAAGGATGTCTAGAGACTAAGGTGTGCTTGATCCAGTCCGTGGTTTCACAATTACTTGCTATACATCAGAGAGCTGGACAATGACTAAGGATAATGGAAGAATTACTGATGCCTTGGAGTTGTGGTCCTGGAGAAGTGTATTGAACATGCCATGGACTACCAAAAGAACTAGCAAGGAGAGGGTGAAACCAAGCTGTTCCTTGGAGGCAAGGATTTTGAGACTTTATCTCACATAGTTTGGGCATGTAGCAAAGAGGGACCAGCTTCTGGAAAAAGATATCATACGTGGAAGGGTCCAGGGACAGTGCAGGTGAGAAAGACCCTAGACGAGATGGACTGACACAATAAATGAGGTAATGAGGGTAGATGTGCCAGAGACAGTGATTGGCTCAGTACTGAGCAGCGTGCAGAGCTATTGTGCACAGGGTGGCTATAAACTGATGGCACATTATAACATTAATAAGAAGGATGGCAACAGGGTGCTCAGATAGCCTGAGGGGGTTCTGGTGGCCTGCAATGTCAACCTAAAAGCACGTGGTTCGAATCCACCAGCTGTTCCACAAGAGAAAGATGGCCATTCAACTCCAGTGCAATTTACTATGCTCTGAAAACCTGCTACACAGTCAGCTATGGGCCAGTCCTGACAGTACTTAACAACATGATGGCAATGATAGAAATGATGGCTAATGATAAGAGCTGGTGAAGTTGTGGATAAATTGGCATCATAATATGAGAATGAAAAATGGTGTAATCTTTTTGGTAGTTTGGTAGTTCTTCAAAACATACATACAGAGTTACCATAGTCTACTACATTTATATAGGTGAGCAGTGAAAACCTGTATCCACACAACAAAGCTGGATGTGAATTCACGGCAATGTTATTCCTAAGAGCCCAAAGTGGCCAAACTCCAAACGATCATGAAGTGATGAACAGAAAACAATCGTAATATACCCATGAATAATGGGTATTCAGTCAGAGAAAGAATGAAGAATTAAGGGCAGGGTTCAGAGCTACTGTGCAAGGGGTCGCTATGAGTTGCAGGCAATTCAAAAGAACCTAACAATACCTTGTGACACGGGAGAACCTGAGAAACACTACGTTAAATGAAAGGTGGCACTAATGAGCGGTCACATATTGTTAAGATCCTACTTATATGGCAAGCAGACAGAAGGGTGAGTGGTGGTCATTAAGGGTTTGGGGGTGAGGTGTAAACGGGGGAGTGACTGCTCACTGGTATGGGTTTTAGGTGAGATTATAAAAATTATCTAAATGTACCGTGATTATGGTTGTACTGCTTTGACTATACTAAAAATATGAAAATCACTGCATTGTACAATTTCAATATGTAAACTTCGTGACAAATTAATCTGAATAGCTGGAGATTTTTGGTTTTGTTTTAAAGTATAGAGGACAAGTATCAATTGTCATTTGCCAATTTGCCTGTTAATGCCAGGTCATTTCCCCCATGTTTTAGAAAGATTCCTGAAGCCCTTTCAACCTCTGACTGTTCCCGATCCTGAGGAACCTGTGGGGTGCCTCTGGGCAGCCGCTGACCCCAGCATCCGGGGCAAATATTACAGGGATTCCCTTGGGTGCTTACCCAAAGCACAGGCCATGGCGGCGCCCACCAGGCCTCCACCTGAAACCACCACATCGTACACGATATCTGCTGGGGCGCCAGACCACCTCCGGCAGGGGAACAGCGTCCCTCGGCGGGCAGCTGCAGGACCAGCTCCCAACAAGCTAACAGCTACGCGGGCCGCCATGCTGCTACGCTGACCCGACGCTCCTTGGAGGACATTTCCCTAAGCCCGCCTCCGGAAGCCCTTCCGGAATGGAGCCCTCCAATCATATTCTAGTGAGCATGTTGTCTGTAGACCGGAAATAAGCCTCAAAAGGCCAGTCAGAAAATGATGCTTGACTCTTTGGGCGGGATTTTTTTAGAGGTTGATCTGGCTTCTTTCTGTATCACAGTTTGATGCGAAATTCCTTCTATTAAATTCAGACTCTTAGCGAATAGAACAAAATACTGCCTGGCCCTGCGCCAGCCTCACAATCATTTCTCTGAGGCCATTATGGAGCCACTCTGTCAACCCGTCTTTTTGAGGTGCTTCCACTTTTCTCTAAGAATGATGTCCTACAGGGAAAGTCCCCTCTTGAAATCATTTCAAAACTAAGTGAGAGGAAGTCTTGCCATTCTGAAGAGCATTTTAGCTGTACTTGTTCCAAGAATAAGTTGTTCAAGTTTTCTAACTGTCCACAATATAGTATTCAGTAATATACAATATTCTCCAACACCGTAATTCAGATATATCCATTCTTCTTCACTCTTCCTTATTCATTGTTCAACTTTCGCAAGCATATAAGTCTATTTAACACACCATGGTTTAGGACTGGCTCGTCCTAGCCCTCAACGTGACACCATTGTTTATCAATTCTTTACAGAGGTTTTTCGCAGCCGATTTGCTCAGCGCATCCACCAATCAAAGGCTGAAGCTCGAGAGGGGGCGGATCCCAACAGTGAGTTGCTGGTTGTCGCTGCTGCAGACATCGCTGCAGTCTGCACCGCCTCTGCCTCTGCCAGGCCAAAAAAGATGACTGTGGGGAGCCCCAGGGGGAGCCCCGACAGCTCGGAGTCCAGCGAGCAGGTGAGAAGGGAAAGGGAAAGGAGAGGAACGACTACGTTCCAGGATGGAATCCCCAAGAAAGGACTCTGTTTGACGTTGCCTGGGAGACGGGCAGGGGTGTGGCTGAAGGGTGGTGGGATTAGCATAGGTGATGGTTAAAGGCCTAGAAGAGGCGACAATTGGGGATTTTATGGCAAAGTATTCCTAGAACCATACCAAGGGTCCTCAGTTTTCGTTTATTCCTCTCAGCTACCCAATGACCAACAATATGATCGTTGTCCCCATTTTGTAGATGAGAAAACTGAGGAATGATTCTAAAATCCATCTGGACAGAAAGTAGATTGGTGGTAGGCAAGTGAGAGGGAAATTATTGTGATGGTGATGCAACTTTGTAAATAATGCTAAAACCCATTGTATTGTGAACTTTCAGTGGATAAATGGTATGATTTGTATGATATGTCAATAAAATTATTAAAAAGAAAAAAATACTCTAACCCCACATGCTAGTAGCTGAGCCAGGACTGCAGCACATGTGTACCTTTGACCTGGTAACTGTTTTTCCATTGTTGTATCCTTGAGGTCTAGTGAACCCATCACCTCAAGCACCCAGTGGTCTGGCCCCAACTGTCTTCCCTGTTACATTCAGCCTCCTACAGCCCTATCCTGGCCCCTTGCCTGCTTCTCTGACATCTCGAGTGCTCCAATCATACTGGCTCTCTTTCTCTCCTATAGTTAAATTTTTTTCCATCTCAGCACACTGGCTTGGAGCCTTTGCAGTGTTTGTTGCCCAAAAGCTCCTGGCCCTACATTTTAGCAAGGCTAGCTCCTTTTCATCAATCAGGTATTAATCCAAAATTCCCCTACATTGAGAACATAAAAATCAGTCTATGCTTGAGAAAGTAAAACTTAGATGTAGAGAAAGCAAGCCTCCAGATCAATAGAAGACAGTTACTTCTAGTTACATGTTTGCTGCAAAATTACTAATACTCCCTTCTTCTGAATGATTATGGGTGCTTACTAAATATTTATCCAGCTCTGCTTTGTTTTCCCTAGTCTTTTAAATAAAAATTACTCCATTACCAAGTAACTAAATTATCCCAACTTCATGATAGCAAGGCATCAACCAGCCAGTCAACTCAAAGTTGATCACTACTTCCTTGATGTTCTTCAGAACTGTTCAACAACAATCAATTCTACAAACTTTCCCATCCTCTTGCTGAAAGTCCTCTGCTATTCCCTTTAGTTTCCTATCATATGCTGCCACAAATTAATATGTCTAATATTGATTATGGGTATGATTATATATGATTCCTAGTGGTCTTTATCTGATGGGTTTTATCAACCAAAGAGATTTCTATAGCCACTTAACCATTCTGTATTACCTCACAATGTTCTCACTGAATGTTTTCAGTTTGTTTGCTCACTGTAAGAATTGCCCTTGGGGGAGAGAATAGTCTAAAAGTATTATATTTTAGGGCATCATTTTTATCGTAGGAGTA